AGTTAATAACTGAACATGGAAGCTAATGAGATGTACGTGATCCAGAGAACAGCCCTAAAAATACACGAACAACTTAAAAAAAAAACGTGGATCCTAGAGAATTGTAATAATAATTAATGGTGCTGTTTTTAGTCCATTTTGTTTTTAAAAGGAAATCACAAAGTATGCTATGCAGGTTTATCTGTGACAAGCGTCTTACATACAACAGTTTTGATTTATGGTTTTGTTTTGAGGGTTTTTATTTATACGCTGAATAATAATTCATATTTAACAGTTAAACAGAGACTCTGTGACGCTTGGCTGTTATATCGGCATTGATACTTGTTCACCGCAACGTTTCAAAGCTTTCCGCTTTTTCCGAGTTCTTCCCTTTGCGCGTAATTTCATGGCAAAATCTTAACTGAGACAATGCGTTTGAAATCCGCTAATAGTCATCGAAAACTTATTATTACACTCGAAAAACTGTCATTTGATTTTGCTCGCGATAAAATTGGATCGTGCTTGAAATATTTCAGGATCTCGTGATCTTCGCTTTGTATGCCAGATCGCTTTAATTACGCATTATTCCTTTAGCTAATTATTTTTTTTTCCCGCGACATAAGAGGTATGTTTTCTTTTGTGCAAAGCCTTTTTAGTCCGTCCAACCTAAATCACTGACTGGTATGTGTGCTCTCGAGAAATGTGCTTTTGTGGGAAACATTCACTTTAAAATCAGGAGGTTGCAGATTTTTTCCGAAGCTGTACAGGTGTTAGTTAGCGCTAAAATGTCCTTTGTTGGTTTCTTTCATGTCGATGTTTGTTCTGTTACTTTTGTTCAATTATTTGTGCGTGATACCAATGTTCGCTAATTCGGTCCTTTGACCTTTCCGGAGTTGAGTTCAACTTGTTTTTTTCAGATGCCATCGAATCTTTAAACCCAAATCCTTAAGTATTTTTAACTTGCGATGTTAATTTGGGTGTTTATTTACGCCTGTGGCAAGCGCATTCAAACAATATGTTGACACTATTTGTTTTAGTCGCGAGGTCATTTTCAATTCCAGCCTTCTATGATAGCAATACAATATAACAATTTGAGAAATGCGATCACTTTGTATCAATCCTAGATAGTGTTGAAACTTGACCCCGCTTGTGTACAGGTTTTATGTCCGGTGTCTGGTTTGAGTGAAAGAATATAACTCGTCCATTAAGGATTTAGGCGATCTTAACCTGATTATCCACCAGGATCAGTCTTGGCCATTCCTTTGGAGAGTGGAGTACCTTCATGCACTTCGGGATCGATCGGGATCGATCTTTTGCTCTGGAAAGGCTTATCTCATCAAAGGTCGCCCATTCATTGCGATCCAAGTCGAAACTGTCGCGGTATTGAACTGAGAAGCGCAAAATGATGAGCTATTTTCGCCATCTTATCTGTGGCCTTTGAAAGAATTCACGGCGGTCTACTTAGAGGGGACAAGTCACTGCCTTTGATCTTCTGGCCAGCTCTGTGAGAGTAGATAACCTTATTCATGGTTCTACAGCGGCAATCAAATCAATCTCGGGCTATGGCAACCCAAACGCCGCTCCGTACGGCGCAGTCCCCTTCTTATGCCGTGTCCATGAGTGTTGTGCCGAGTCAAAGCCCTGTGGTTGTTCGGCGAGCTCTCAAAACGCGAACAGATGATGTTCAGGTAATGTTTTTAGAGCACATGCAGGATTGCATTTTTAACGTGTTTTGTTCTCGAAATGGCACGCAGTCGATGAAATGTTTTGTTACGAATGCTCAAGAGCAGTTATACCAGTTTCGTCCTTTTCATTACGTGACAATCACATGAAATTAAGGGATTTGGGAAGTATCATTTTTGTGAACATCACGTCGTTTAAATTCGTTGTTTTTGTTGGGCAGTCTCGAAATATGAAATAGCTTTTCAGGTTTGTTAAAGAAACAAGTGAGCTGCAGTGGTGAGAGAACGTCAATATCACTTTCACCTGTACCTATTATGTTCAACATTCCTGTTTGAAGGATGACAAGTTCGGTAAAGCTCGATAACTTTAATACAGATGAACATCTCCTAAAGCTCTTACTGCGCATAGCCTGAGGCATCAGTCTTATTGTATAGCCATTACCCTGCCACGTGCCAGTTGTTATTTCATATAGAAATTAGTCCAAACATTACTTCACTTCCTGTGTTTCACAAATAGTTGGAGAGCGTTTATGGTGTTTAAAAAACGTTCAGTTCTTTCACTTGACCTGAATTGGCTTACTACAGCCTTGAAATGAGTTTATTTCTTGGAGGTATCTTGCCTTAATTTCGCGAAATGTCTGTCTGGGGGATATCAACATTTGTTCATCAAATCGCTATGACTGCGTTATCGTTATGGTTCAGTTCTGTGATCTTTTGCATCAGTCATACAGGAAACGCAGCATTTTGACAAGTAATTCTTTAATCCGCTGCTCGTCTGAACTGTTCACCAGTAAACACTACAAACAGATTATCAATTTTTTTTTTCACTCTTTCAAGCGCGTATATTTCCTGGTATTTTTGTTGCTAATAATAGTAATAAGTCTGATCAGCTTTCAAATTCTCCTTATCATTTTCGATCCATGTCATTTGCCTTCTAAAAGTCGGTTTTATAGTTCAGATATTGGTCTGACGAAAAATTCACAAAATGTTCAACTCGGGTTTGCTTTGTGCAAAATTGCATACAAATCGCGGGAAACTTCGACTTAAAACGTTTACTACAGCTGAGAAACAATGATTATGTAATACCGGGAAAAACCATTTATCCGGTCACCAACGGGCCACAAAAAATATGGTCGTATTAACGGAGTGGCCGTATTAAAGGGGTTCTTTAAATAAGAAAATGAGTGACAGAGCTTTTGTTCGATCCAGAATGAAGCGGCCGTAATTACGGGGTGGCCGTATTAACGAGGTGGCCATGGGGCGGAGTTCCACTGCAATGAATCAAACAGGAACAACGATGGTTAGAATTGGCAAAGATTCCGTACGTCGACCGGACAGATTATAAACGTCTATATTAAAAGGTGTAGGTTTATATACTTTTCAACATCCGCCATACGTGATCCGGCTTCTTTGTAATTCCAAGACAATCACCACGTAAGTTGGGATTTATCAGTCGTATCGTGAATACTTTTAATTTGTTGATTTGTTTTCCGCAGCATGTTTTTCAAGTTTATTCCAGTTTTTACTCCAAATCTCATATAGAACTACATGTATGAAAATATTCACACTGTGCTCTGTGGGCAGTCGTTAGCACCAGACGTCTTTTGGTTTACCGATAATGAATATTTTTATCATCCGAAAGTGAATTTTTCAAGTAAGAGGTTTATCGTTCCAAGGCTCCGGGCCAAAACTTAAAGACGGAAAACGGAAAGAATGCAATGTACCTCGATGTGCACAGAATCTATTGTTTTCAGGACAGATTGAAATTGGGCAAACTTTCAAGTGATATACTACAGTCTTACCATGTGAAAGCCTTACTATTTTAGACAATAATTGAAGTCCTGGGGAAATTAACAAAAGATTTTCTGGCAATTCTCCCTTTAAAGAATCGGATAAAAAATTGCGGTGCTGAGTGTATCGTTATTACGGAAATTGACCGTATCAATTCTATTTTTTGGTAGTGTTAAGTTTTCTTTTTTTTTTCCATAGCTCGTATTTTTCGTCAGAAGTGTAACAGCTCTCGTAAGCTTGCAATTCTTCTCTTTTGTTTTAGGGCTAGGGACATTGTTTCTGTTGTTTGTTCTATTGTTCTCTCAAAGGGTATCAAGCCATTTATGTGAGACGTGAGAGCTGCGAACCGACCCTTTTTCTTTGTTATCGTTTGCTCGAAATAATTGACTTTCCCGAGTAAATAAATCGCCATATCGCCCGCAGTATATCAATTACCTGTTCAGTATCTCGAGTATATCGCGCTATTCAAGAGCCTCTTGTCGAAATGTCAGTCCAAACTACAGACAGTTTCATTGCAGTCTGGATCCACCTGACTGCGATGTTTATCAAGACTCCGGTCCATTATCAGCACACATTAGCATATTTGCCAGTTTTCATGCGACATTCATGGGTTAGAGGGTCGGTACAGTCCAAGAGATAAGAAAGAATTCCAAGTTTTGTGATGACATCTTGCGTGACATCTCGATATACCATCACGCATATCTCAGGCGCGACAATTCTCTTCATATTTGAACAAAGATAGCGTGCGACAAGGTAACTAAATTAGTTGAATTACAACTATGACACCATGGGAATCCCATCCAGGGGGGAGTAGAAATACTCGTAGTCGCTTCATGCTACTGAAACCGGGATAAGCTCCAGTCTGATGGGCCACTTGGCTCGTATGCAGACTTCAACTTTACATTACCACCATGGGAATCCCTGGTAAAGGTTGTGAAGGTTCAGTTAAAATGCGCATTAATTCTTTCGTTGAAAATTTATTTTCTGGACAACATGTTGAAATTCTCTCCTCCTCCTTTTCTTGCGTAACTCCGCATCGTTCTCTTAGCAACGCCTTCATTATGACGTGCCATTCGGTGTGTCACACAATCATAAATAGTTGTCACGCTATCGATAGGGAAGGAAACAGGACGAAAATCGTGTAGTGAAACTATGATCAGTGATGGTGAAAAGCGAAGGTAGCGTTCTACACTTGTAGAACACTAAGTAGTTGTAACACTGATCGAGTTGAAAAAGATTTAATTCCACAGAGCACTAAAGAAGAAATTTTGCAAATTTTGTACAATTTTCAGTAGGCGAAAATAGCAACATAGACGAATGTTCACACTTGATTTATTAAGCGCTGTTTCCCGGCTCCTCACGGATTTCTCGACTACGAATATTAACCTATTGTTTACTTGTCAAACATGAGCAGAAACTGCGGTTGGTTTTTGTATGTCTTTTATGGTTAATATCTACGCATTTCTGACGTGTATCACGGCTCAAATCATCATTGTCCTGGACGCTTAGTTTTAACCAACCAATAACATTTTCTCTTTATTTCCACAGTGCAAAATCTACGACATTCAAGACAGATTTCCAAGTGACAACTTATGCCTCTCGGAAAAACAAAACTCTCATGTAAGTTGTCTCGTTATTAAGCTCGAGAATATTGTTTTTGCTTAATGATGGTTTGCTTTCAGGTGTTTCTCATCATTAACTGGAGAAATCAAATGTTGTTTTATTCTGGAAGAAGATATATAATAAAAATGATAATTATTGAATTCCTAACCAAAAGCGCTACGCGATGTTCAGTTTTAGAATAGGTTTAGGCCACTTAAACACTACGCCGGAGGAATTTGAAAACGGAGGTTTCACTCTGAAAACGAATCAAATGTTTTCCGTCCAGATTATGCCGGAGGAATTTGAAAACGCAACAATTCGCCGGTCACTTTGGATTTGTGTTTGAGGGAAACTCGAGCGGCAAATCACATGATTATCGGGAGGTCATCGTTTACCAAAAGCTTCGCTTTCAAAATGCTGTCTGACCACACTAAAACGAAAAGCCGGCGATTTCAAATTCCTCCGGTTTGAAGAGCGTTTTCTACTAGCTTCGTTTTCTTGACGGATTAGTGTTGACGGTAGGCCTAACCTTTGTAATAAAGCTACGTTTTCAAATTCCTCCGGTGTATTGTGGATGGGGCCCTAGTTGCAATAGTGTTACATGAACTTTTTCTTTGTCATTTTCAAAGTTCTTGATTTGTCTGCTTTAGTTCGCTAGTTCAATTCAATTTAGTTCGCTAGTAAGTTGAAACATATTCTTTGTAACAACAATCTCTATTTTTCACACCATTTTTTATGGGTGTCGATTTCTCAGTTCCGTTCTCAGTTAAAGACCGGAAACGTTTTTTTTAAAGGTGCTTAAGTTGGTAAATCGGAGTTCAAGTGTAGTCACTTAAATGTAAGCCATCGATAATGGTAGTCGATAACTGCCTTAGTATTGCACTTTTTAGCTGCGCTGTGAACGTCAATGTTGGTTTAGTTTACAAACACCAATCGTAGTCTTGAAAACCAATGTGTATACATTTGAACCCCGCTATTTCGAACCCTCAGGGGAAACGAAAATAGTCCGAAATAGCCGATAGTCTGGATAGTAAATCACTGAAGGGCAAATCCAAGGAAATGATGTTGGGGAATCCGAAATAACCGAGTTCGAATTGGCGGGGTCCAACTGTAATAGCACCACAGACGGGCAATTTTTTGGAAACAAAATGCAGGGACAACCTGCTCGTAACAGTGCCGCTTACTAGCCATCATTTGGATTGTAATATATAAAAGTTTAATCTGATCCACAGAGCCAAAAGGTGTTTCGTTTTTGGAAGGATGGGGTTGGTGTTGAGTGAGGTTGAACTGCTTGTATTCCTGGAGACAGGAGGAGGGGGAGGGACTTTGAAACGCTTTGGGACCCTGAGGTCGGCATTTTTTAAGGTTCAACTTTTTCGACCGTTCAAATGTCCAGTTTATTTATTCTGATAAAGTATTTAAAGCCTGGATTTCACAATGACATAAGCACAAGCCCAAGCAAAACAAAACATTCTGTTCTTCTTGTGCTTGCGCTTATGCTTATGTCAAGTGAGAACGCGCTATTCTGAGCATAAGCACCCAAGCATAAACGCCGTCCGCCATCTTGTTTTTCTGTATCGCGGAGGTATGGAACCGAAAATAAGGTAACTATCCTTTCTGCTCATGCCTACGTGCTTACACTTGTGTTGAGGGCGTCCTCGCTACCGTTTATTGACTACTGTTTATGTTTGTGCTTGTGCTTATGTCGTAGTGAAAACCAGACTTAATGCATCATAGCAGGAAACGTAAATTTCAGACTACTTTTAACAAGTGCTGAAAATTGATCGTAAGAGCTGTTTAATAAGGTTATTTGAGCTCTCCATTCCCAGAGTCAAGCCACAAATCAGTTTCTATTGGTTGTACTTGTTTCATGTGTGACCATTCAGATGAAAGCAACTGTTCAGTGCTTTATTCCGTACGGCACTACTTAAAAATATTTCGCATAACGACGTTAAGGAGCTTTTTGTTGCATTTTGAACTTGGACTATGTTCCTGAGGAGTTTTGCGGTTTAGAGTTTTGTATTAGAATGTATGAGAAACTCGGCTCTTTAAAAATAGCTCAGTTGAGAGTGACTGCATGAAGGACCCTTTAATCTTGACGAACCCATGTCAACCCGTGGTCTTAAGGTTTATCGGCTTTATGGTATGTCTTACTTAGTTAATTAACTGACTTATCATTTTGAAATTTCTAGGTGGATTGGATTATGTTTTGCATTTCTGCATGAAGGTGGTTTAGTTATCGTGAAAGAATGTAAAACTTACATTATTTTTTTTTGCGCACACAGCGATTTAAGCAAGGAAGCTCCAGAAGACGCTCGGCTCCAACAACAGTGATAAAAGCAGCCCTAGGTGGAAAAACGCACTCTATAAAAAGGTAAAGAACTTGTTAAAAATACAGAAGATGATAAAGTAAGTTTGCATGTTTCTGAACACGTCTTTAGCAATGGGTACGTGCGAGCTATGAGGCTTGAAAACCTATCCGACAAGTGCGGCAGAAATTTGGTAGGGTGTTGAAGTACTGTTGAAAACTGGAATCAATTTTCACGGATGTTTGAAATTTTCAGTTTTTGTGAACAGTTCTTGCGTGGAAACACTGAGAAATTCGATTTGACAAGTTTTACTTCCCAGAGATAAACCGCAAGCCATTGTGTGTTTTTTTTATTTCCGACTGTTTGTTTGTTTTTTGCCGGCTTTACAGTCACGTTCTCTTTAATTCGTGCAGAGACAAAGGCCAGCGTCTAAACAAACCCGACAAAGGAAATTGCCGGTATTGGATTGCGAAAGGTTTCGCTGCTGTCTGCTGCAAGAACAGCAGAGAAAGATGCCTCTCCCTTCCGTGAAGAGTCGACTCCAGACGGCAGTTTGCCCAAACCTAGCGTGCGATATGACAGAAGTGATCCGAACACCTCATTTTCAGTTAATTGCATTCCGCTTGAATACCAGACAGAGTTCTAAGGGCACGCATTTAAAACGTCGAGATGTATTCGATAATTACACGTAATCATTTTAAGTATTTTTATTAACGTCACAAATGCGGATGGACTCGACGTTTAAGTGCTCGATCGACACCACAAAGTAACACTTCAACTATATTACCCCTGCAGTGTTTTCACGTAGATCTGATCTTACTAGTTAAGGTGAATTGTCTTTCAGTTTAGTTGATATTCCGTCGTCATGACAGACAAACATGATGACTTACATCGCTCATTACCATTTGTTGCGTTCTTAATGGGAAAATTCTTTATTTAGCTCTACAATAGATGGCAGTGTGCGAATGAAGACTTCGTCAGAACCCACTTCCCCACTTGCTCCTGAAGTTTTCCCGTACAGAGCTTTCATCAAGGAGGGCCATGTTCAACTCTCCACGGTAAGTGTTTTTAAAGTGCTAACCTCTTAAAGAATTTCCGATTTCTAAAGTTAGCGTTTGGATTAAAAGCCCTTTGTCAGGTCAAATCCGGAGCAAATCCAGAGCTAATCCAAATCGAATCAAGGCAAGTACGAAACAAATCCTGGACTGTAAAGAAGCTTCAAAACAGACTGATGTTCACTATTTATAGTCTCTTTCATGCTTGGTTGACTCATTAAAAGTGCGATTGCTTGTAGTAGCTCGATGGCTTTGCAATCATAGTTGTGTTAATGCTCTCAGTGAGATAGCCTTTGACTTATTGGTATGTTTTTTGGTTCTTGTCTTTTCAAGGGGATGTCTTCCCAAGATAGACATCTTTTCTTATTTGATGATCTTCTCCTAGTTGCAAAACCAAGGTGAGCTCTCTTTTTGATTATGTCCAGTGGCATTGTCTTATGTTAGTCAATCCATTGGTAAACCAATCAAAAACCGCTTAGGGGGCTGTAGCCTCGTACGGCCTGCAGATCTTTGGTCTTTGATTCGGTTAAAGATTAGAAACCAACAGAAAACTGTCAAACCAGAATTCGTGTTGTTCTTGTGCTTATATCGAATGTTTTCATTGTTATCATTTCAGATCGGCGACTTTCAAGCTCAAACACCGAGTCCGAGTTAGTGAGATCTGGTTGGCTAGTTGCCTTGATGACGTATGCGAATCGACGAAAGCTGTTGACAAGTCGTTTGTGATTGGCTGGCCGACCACAAACTTTGTCGCCGCTTTCAAGTAAGGAATGTTTTTGTTTGAGGTATTAAAAAGCGGTTTTCAGTTGAGTGTAAGTGTAAACCCAAGGCCAAACCAAATACTTACCAGCTAGACTACTTAGCCAATGTCAAACCGCAGTAAAACCAAAACCAAAACCAAAGTAATTACCTGATTACTTTCGACACTCAATTGAAAACTGCTCTTTGAATAAGAGTTCACCAAGGTACAAAAAAAGAAAAAAAATTAAGGGTCGATAACTAACTAAACAGGAATGGTGGTCGAGATAAGGAAAGATTGAGACGATGACCTTAACAACACGAAACATGTTTGTCTAAGTTTCCAGTCTGCTCCTTCTGTGGCAAATCTCTTTCACCAATTTTGTTTGTTTGTCCAAGTTTCCAGTCTGCTCCTTCTGTGGCAAATCTCTTTCAACAATTTTGTTATTGTAACGCTAGCTCGCTTAAGAAAGAGATGCTGATTTTAAGATATGCTCTCGAATTCTTTCTGTAGCACTGCAGAGGAGAAGGAGGCATGGCATAGCGTACTGTCCAAGTAAGTTATCTTTAAAGTGACTGATTCTACTGTTACTCTTGAACACACGCCTTTTGTATTTGCAAGGATCCATGTCACGTGATGACGACTGGCTGTTAAGGGCATGCGCAAATACGTAGTCCACAAAATGACTATTCAGTCAGTCTTCCTCGTCCAGGAGGGCAATTTTGGTCTTTTGTTTTCCTTGGCAGCCGTTATTTCTCAGTAGCAGTTCTAGCTCTCACAAACACCAATCGTTTTGAAAATAGTTTTCTTTTCTGTCTGAGAATGTTTGGGTTTCCATTCCAAGTTTATTTATGTATTTTTTTTTCTTATAGGCAACTCAAAGAGCAGAAGGACATGGAAGACCCAAAGTCTGTTAACCTTAAAGTTTATAACAGGGATATGGATTCACCTGATTCTTCAGGCTATGTACGTAGAATAACAGTAATATTGACTGTGAACTTGAATGGCATAACTACATTTTATTGTTACCCCCCTCCCCCTCCATCCCCAGCTAACATGACAAACGAAAGTAATTCTTTCGCCGTTCTTTACTGAGCGTTTCCTTTCTCTTTCTATGTCCTCCTTATTTCTTGCTCCTTTGTTCAATGGTTATACTTTTCCTCGTTTAACTTACACCGTTTCTTTTCTCTTTCCAGTCCAAGTCTTTCTCTGTCACCAACATGGACGATGCCGCTGCCGTCGTTAAAATGTCGCTGGCGCAGTTTCAGCTTCAGGTACGTTTCCTTGTCTCAACATGAAGTAAATAGCCCTTGAGACTTGCCTTCAACGAGACTGACCTCGCAGCGGAGCAAACCATAGCAGATAAAAGGTTGTAGCTTACTCGATAATACTTAATTTGTTCTATTACTGACTTATTTCAGTCACGAGTCAAGAATGCTCACAGGCCTTAATGTTTTGTGGTCTTTGTCAAACACTTTCGTGGTTGTAGGTGTTCCCGGCAGTCGTTTTTCTCTCGCTTTTCGCTTTCGGGTTTTGGGCGCCGCGGACATTTTTCTCGTTCCGTGCTCGACTTTCGCAACTCGACGTGCGGAGATCAACACGAGCGATTTTCTTACGAAGCTTATTTCTTCATATCCTGTAACTTTCTTTTTCAGCCTGACGATCTGTCCGAGTATCAACTATGGGTTCTGTCTGGAAAAGAAGACGGCGCTTATCCATTGATAGGTGAGAGGTTAGAGTGATCACAGATGAATTTCTCCTTACGAGCACAATACATTTCAAGCAGATTGGTCACGAGAATTAAGAAAATCATCAGCACTTTGATGTTTTTGATGTAACCGCACTGAATTTCATTTGTTTTATTGTCTGTAACTTTTGCTCAGTATGTTAAGATAACTGTTGTTATAATCCATCAAATATTTTCGCTCGCTTGGGATTGGTTTAAAGGCGTCACTTGACTGAATATTCCCCAGCTAAAACTGGGGAATATAAAACTGGGGAATGTATTTTTCGTTTTCGTACGTAAGGAAAACATTTTAAAAACGGAGCTTTTCGAAAACGATATCCGTGCATATTTTTGAGTGACAGTCCCCAATTTTCAAAACCGAGCGTGTTGCGAAAAACATTTCAAGGATAATAAGCACAATACCCTCCATTTGGCGCGAAAATAAGCTCGGATATTTGTCCTTGGACATCATCTGTTCCTCAAAGCTCACAGTTTTCTTTGAGCTACGCTCTCGGTAAACTGTTCGCTTCTCGGAACAGATAATGTCCGCGGACGAATATCCTTGCATTTTTCCGCGCTTAATAGAGGCTATTGTTTATTTATCGTTACATAACTTGTTAACTATTGTTCAGTGAGAGTTTAGGCGCCAAAGGAACGTCCACACTACGCCGGAGAAATTTGAAAGCGCAGCTTTATTCCTTCTCTTAAGCCTACCGTCCACACTAATCCGTCACGAAAACGGAGCTTTTCGGAAACGCTCTTCAACCCGGAGGAATTTGAAAACGCATGTTTTTCGTTTTCGTACGTACGGAAATCATTTTAAAAACAGAGCTTTTCGAAAACGAGAGCATTACGATAATCTTGTGATTTTCCTGACCGAGTTTTCGTCAAACACAAAACCAAAATGACCAGTAATTGTTACGTTTTTAAATTCTCCCGGCGTAGTGTGGACGGAAAACATTTGATGCGTTTTCAGAGTGAAACCTCCGTTTTCAAATTGCTCCGGCGTGGTGTGTACGGCGTCTAATAAGTTGCGTTTTAAACGCGTTTCGTAGTTTATTCTACGCTGAATTGTCGTTCGTAAAGTGCGGTTTATTTTATTCTCGTTTTAGCCACAAACTGGGTCTGTACTAAGACTTTGTTTAGGAAGTCGGCCTAAGAGTCTAACTTTTGTTTTTGCGGTATTTTTCTGATGTAAGGTCACGAATTTCCATTCGCTATCAAAATGAATCATATGCGAGAGGCGGCCTTAACAGATGAAGATGGCTTTCCGTTTGACTTTGATCAACAACTGCCGATAATGGATCCGTTGTCTCCTGAGACACAATGTCAGTTCATTCTGAAGAGGAACAGAAAAATTCCTAACCGAATAGCCATTGGTAAGTTGGTCTGCTTCCGAATGAAAGAGGTGTTGATAGAAGTAGCGTGTTTGGAGCCTACAACGTCCGAAGGGAAATAAAGATGAATCACTTTATTTAAATGTCATGGTATTTAGCACTTCCGTGCTAGTTAGGGACACAATTAATGAAGAAACAGAAATAGAGTAAATAGAACTTAAAACTTGTTAGAAATCCCAACTGGTTTGAGCCTGGCTAGTGTATTATTAAAGAGACGTTGAGGTGAATTTGGGAACACCGAACAAATCCATCCGACAGCGGCAGGAGGGGGATTTGATTCCGGGACCTCCGGATTTCAAATCCAGCGCCCTAACCACTAGGCAACGCCGCCTCCAAAGCAAAAATTGTTCTCGTGTCCTCCGTGTAGCTGGTGCTCTGTGTTTTAACCTAATCTGTATTTTTTTTTCTTTACAGATGTACACACTGCTCCCAGCAAACAGCGATGGAAGAATCCAATCAAGAAGTCACCAATAATCAATTGGGCCATACACAAAAAAACCCAGGGGTCAACTAAAGGACACTCCATTGAAGTACAGTCTTCATCACCTGGAAAGTAAGTGTCAGGATGAACTCGAACGCAGTAGAATCAGAACAATATATCGAATCTAGTGGCAGGGTAGGAGGCGCGGTGGCCTCATGATTAGTGCGCTTGTCTCCGGATCGAGCGGTCCGGGTTCAAGCCCTGGCCAAGGCCATTGTGTTGTGTTCTTGGGCGAGACACTTTAGTCTCACAGTGCCTCTCTCTACCCAGGTGTATAAATGGATACAGGTGAACTTAATGCTGGGGGTAACCCTGCGATGGACTAGCATCCCATCCAGGGGGGAGTAGAAATACTCCTAGTCGCTTCATGCTACAGAAACCAGGATAAGCTCCGGCCTGATGGGCCACTTGGCTCGTATGTAGACTTTACCTAGTGGCAGGATCGAGCTTGAACCCAGCACTGCCTCATTATAGAATACATTCAGCTTTGGTAAAAAAAAGTTGTAATTAGGGTAGGAATGTCTTCTCCCGTTCAACGACGTTTAATTTGAATGATTTACATTTTGACAGCGATAGGATAAAAACACTCGGAATCCTTGAACATATGATGTCATTTATAGTTTAAGATTCATTTGTCTGTGTTTGCTTACTCTAAGTGTCCTCTTTGTCCCAGGCTTTTCGGGATTCCTCTGACGCAGCTCTGTTCCGAGGAAGAGCCTGTACCAAAAGCAGTGCGGGAACTGTTGTTACATTTGTTTCGGTACGGCCCCAATACCACGGGAATCTTCAGGAAGTCTGCTAATGCCAGAATTGCCAAAGAAATCAAGATTGAATTGGATGAAGGTAAACGGGGGCCGTTCATGTAGCTTTGGAACTAGCAGTACTGTAGGTTATGTCACGTTGATCGATAAGGACTCGGTACCCATTTATTTTTTTCAATCTCGCATCACCGGCAATTGTACGAAAATTCCTCATAGCCTTGTCAATGAACGATCGACTTCTTCGAACGCGCTCAATCTCCAAACAGAGTTGAATAAATGACAGAACACAGTAATGTCCCAGCCCAGGTACAGAATTAATTGATCATAAAAGGTACACAATAAGAGTTCAAAAAAGGTACACAATCAAGGGACGAGGAGACGCATACCATGAACGACAAAAGAGGGACACAATGAAAGGGCTGATAGTGTTCCACAAATGCTATTACTCACTATCTGGTCTAGAGTGGGGTTCTAGAGTTATACACAGTGGTATTATTTAGATGTACTGGCGATATTTTTGTCTTTTGTATTCATTGTTGACTAAGAGAGTACCGTGAGTTTACGATGTTTTCCTTTCAGGTAAAATAGTGGACTTCGAAGATGTGTCAGAGGTCATAACTGCGTCTGTTTTGAAGGTGAAGATTCTGTTCCTCTAAACTACTTAACACTTGGATTATGAGCTCGAGACTTTTATTACGCATAGTGATAGAAATGGAGAGCGAATAATGCAATTGTTTTAGTATAAATCTACTAGACCTACTAGTCGTTCAAAACTTCATCTCAATCTTCTTCACAGACGCCTTTCGAGAACGTAAAGAAGTGGCCGCTATTTTGTTTTGGTTTTAATACTAAGAATTTTAAATTTAAAGTGCTTCTACTCGATTTAGTTTCCTGCTGGCTAACAGTAACTTTTTTTTTCTTGTTAGTAATTAACTTAAAACAAAACTTGTTTTATTGGCAGGAATTTCTTCGTCGCTTGCCGGACTGTATATTTGAGAGTGAGAATTACGAAGATCTCGTCGCCACCAGCAATATCGTAGACCAAGACGAACGAGCGAGGCAAATCAAGGGGTACGAACTTTCTTGTTAGGAAGAAATTAAATACCTGAGGAGCTGACAAAGGTTACGCTGTTTCCCACGCCCACCTTGAAACAAGATTACACTCTGCACACTGGTTATAAGTTTTCCCGCGCTTGTCGCAGGTTACAAGCTTTCCAACGGGCTACAATTAAGGTTTCCCGCGCTTAAAGGAGCTACGTGACGGTTTGTGCATCTTAAAAAGTTAAGCCTAGATTTTTTCAAGTTCGTTGTTTGCAATCCGTGTTAAACTTCTCCATCCTTGTTCCTTTGTGGTTTATTATTATCTCTTTGGTGTTTTTCTGTCTTAGTGCACCACTGTTTTCAGGTTTTCTTAAAATTAACGTTACACGTTGCACGTAGCAGATTTAACTCAAAATGCCGTGACTGGGCTCCTTTAACACGGGTTACAACCTTTTCCGCTTAACACAGGTTACTAGCTTTCCCGCGCTTCACACAGTTTACAAGCCTTCCCGCGCTTAACACAGTTTACAAGCTTTCCCGCGCTTAACACAGCTTAGCGCAGCGCTTGACCCTGGCATGCTATGATAATATTTAGGTATTAAATTGGTTTGGTTTGAGTTTACGACAGTCGGTGCGATTGTTTGATGTTGTTTCCTTTCTTTCAGGATCTTGAGTGGAATCAACCGTTATAATTACGAACTGTTAAAATCATTTTTGTGCGTGTTATATTACATCGCCGACAACGCGGAAACAAACAACATGAACGCTTACAACTTGGCAGTTTGCGTGGCACCCAGCATGCTATGGGCGCCCAAGGGTTCCAGTATTCCTGCCACGGAACAATCAAACTCCGTACCCCCGGTGATACAGTTTATAATTGAACGGTGTGTGGATATCATGGGAGATGATGTAAGAACAATTCTTGGCGATCGTAGCGAGATCGCTGCTAATCACGTGGCCAGCGACTCGGAGAGTAGTACCCAGGACTCACGGACTGCTTTGAGTCAGTCCTCTACGGATGACGGGATAGAGTCACCCGAACCTTTGAGTCCCAAAGGAGAAAGGACCTCCATTCACTTAAGCGATTCGAACTTGTATGTGACAAGCACGCTTAGTGTTCATCCTACGAATAAAAGTGTTAGTACACCAAGTTCGCCGTGTGATTCAGGGATTCCGTCACCTAGTTCATCGCCCCCACTCAAGAGACATGACGTTGAGTTTTCTAATAAACTCAGCGCCGCTTTTTATGAACCTCATCACAGCAAAGGACATGCACCCATCGGTCGACGAAGTTCGGAACCACTCGGCTTACCGCCGGATTCCATGAAATTGCGACTAAAGGGAAATCGGAAATCCCCGAACTCTAAGCGACAGTTGAGTAGTACAACGACAAGTGCTGAACTAATTGAACATAAACAGGCGCAAAAGACCACGGCAAGTGGTCGGAAACTAGAGACTGCAGTGCTACGACGAGCGCATTCGCCTCAAACTGTACGGTTATTTCCTGTCACGCAAAGTGTCACGCAATACCAGCGTCTTAGCCCTGTACCTAACTATCCCTCATCTGTGTCACGTGCTTTAGAAGTCAAACAGTCTGTGGAAACTCAAGGCTTGAGTACTGAAGATCTTGATAGCAGTCCGACATCTCCTGTTCCGCCCAGCTCACCGGTATCTAAACAACCCCCAGGAGGACCCCGGTCTCCATCCCCGAGCCCTGATCAAGTTTTTCAAGCTGTTGACCGCCGGCGCCAGCCTGCGGCGCCGTCATATCAAGAACACATGCAGCGTCGGAGAGAACTGAACTCGAAACCTGCGTTTTTTCCGGGTTTAGAAGGAAAGGAGGTTAAAGATTTGGACAATAATAAGGAACAAGTATCCCCCAGGGAACTAAAGGAATTTTTCGAAACTAAGGAGCATGTGCAACAGCCCCGTTTCCTTGGGAGATCGGGTGTATTTCACGATCGGTTGGATTCGGAAAGGAGCGAAACTTCTTCGACACCTAAAACGCCTCTGTCTCCGGCAAGCCAGCAGGACTATGTGTGGGAACAAGTCGATGATTCAAGCTGCAGCTCAATCGCCAGTGCGGGAATCCGTCGACTGGAACATTCACCATTTGGACTCAATCTTCATCATAAGAGGAATGCTAGTGAAGGGTCTTATAAAAAACCGCCTACTGAAAACTCCAGGAAAACTGTTGGGCTCCCCACAAGTCACAGCTCTGGACAGTTACGATCTTCGCCTACTTCTGTTTCGTCTTCTGTTTCTAATTCCATTCCGCATAATTCTTCTCTCACACATTTCCCTCACTCCGAGTTCTTTCCGCACGAAGCTCAAACGAAAACACACTGGGGACCTTCGGCTGATACTCGGGGAACTTCGGTAGTCCCCAATTCACCGTGCAATTTCCGAATTCGGAGAGGCAGCGCGACTTCGTCTTCGTCGTCGGTGTCGAGCTTGGATGAGCGATCGAGCGTCGGCGCTGATTCGACGTTTTCCGAAGGTAAAACGGACGTGACACAAATTCGCGATATTAAGGAACTTCTTAGCGAGAATGCGCAAGCGAATGGACTGAAAATCAGTCCGCAGACGGCGCAAGTAATCGCTAAGGTACGCACGCCGTACCCTCAGAGCGGGGCGTATGCTGCCCCGTCCCATGACGATATCGAGAAAATTCTGTTCACAGAAGAATCGTACGTCTAGCTTTCCAGTAATATTTTGTATTGTACAAAGAAAACGCTGCCAAGTATTTAGCTGTAATTAGTGATTTAGAGCGTACTTTTTCCGCTTTTCCAAGGCAGTATTTTATTTCAATATTCCGTAGAATAAAAAAATAAAACGCAAAGTTTTAACGTAAGTTGTTGTTATGGCAAGAAATGGTTTCTAAAGGGGGAGGAATAAACTATTTCAAGCTGTCGTAGTTAGCAGTTTGAGTTTAAAGGCGCTTTCCTTTCGACCAAAATTCCAGCTTGCACTTCCGGAAAATTCCAGCGGCGAATGAAACAGCATTTTCCTCAATTTCCGGAAAAGAGGACAACCTTGGCGAAATTTCTTCCCGGAAATTTCCGTTCCATTTGACTTTTAGTTGAATGGTTCGCTTCCGGAATCCGGAAATTCAACAATTTCCGGATTTTCTGGAAACTTTTAGGCTGCAAGCAGTCTCTCTTTACCTCGAAAATCGTAGGGAAGAACGCAACTTAAACTTAAGACAAGTAAGCGTGCGAGCGTGACTGTGAGCGTGACGTGCGATTGGCGATCCGACGCCCGCGCTACTAGCGGCTCGCTGGTCGCGCACATAGGATTACTTGTTTTGCGTTCTTCCCCACGGATTTTCGAGGAAAAGAGAGACTGCTTGCAGTCTATGAAACTTTCCGAAATTCCGTCACCATTTGTCCCCTTTTCGAAATTTTCTGAAGTTTTGGTCGAATGAAAAGCGCCCATAGTTAAATACAGTCTAACACCTTTTCCTTCCCGTCGTGCCTTCCCTGTTAATTTAATCTCTACGAACATCCTCAGCCAGTAGAGAAACTGTCTGAATCTGATTAAAGAACAACTTTGAATTTGAGCAGGTGTAATATTACGCCACCAGCAATTGCTCAGTTGGTAGTGTTTTTGCCATTAAATGGGCCATTTCTGAACTAGTCGTGGTTGGAAATTGTTCATAAAGACGTGTCTCGTGCGTTTGCATTCTTTTGCGATAAAACTCACTCCCATGTGAAAGGTGCAACAGGACTTTTCTTTAATCCAAGCAGAAGGGAACACGGGAATCCCTTATTTGGCGTGCAGTTTCCCGTCATGCAACTCTCATCTGTGCATTGAACAGTTTCTTGACGATGGCACCCCTTGTTTCCAGGGTCCTCCATCTTCCTCAAGGTAGAGAGAGAACCCTGGGAACGAGATTGAATGAAGGCCACAAGCATTTGAGAATAGTGAGTCTGGTAAGCAATTTTATTTGAGGCTCACAATTTGACTAACTACCCCAGCCCTCTATCTAATCCCTATTTAGACTAGTACAAACATCGTTTCGTTTCATTAAATTCTACAGAAATCTAGGTTCGATTACCAGCCGCTGTTTCGGGAAATGAGCCCGCGCTCGTCTCACTCTTCACGGGGACGAACGCGGCCGGACCCGAGAATGCGGCGGAAATCGAGCTTGGGACACTAGTACCGAGATCCTCTCCGAGCGGAATTTACTGTTGGACAACGTAATGAAGTGAACGCAAAGTTGAAAGAGATCCTTCTGAGGAATTAGTCGACGTTTCAAAATAGTTCCTTNCCAGGGGGGAGTAGAAATACTCCTAGTCGCTTCATGCTACAGAAACCAGGATAAGCTCCGGCCTGATGGGCCACTTGGCTCGTATGTAGACTTTACCTAGTGGCAGGATCGAGCTTGAACCCAGCACTGCCTCATTATAGAATACATTCAGCTTTGGTAAAAAAAAGTTGTAATTAGGGTAGGAATGTCTTCTCCCGTTCAACGACGTTTAATTTGAATGATTTACATTTTGACAGCGATAGGATAAAAACACTCGGAATCCTTGAACATATGATGTCATTTATAGTTTAAGATTCATTTGTCTGTGTTTGCTTACTCTAAGTGTCCTCTTTGTCCCAGGCTTTTCGGGATTCCTCTGACGCAGCTCTGTTCCGAGGAAGAGCCTGTACCAAAAGCAGTGCGGGAACTGTTGTTACATTTGTTTCGGTACGGCCCCAATACCACGGGAATCTTCAGGAAGTCTGCTAATGCCAGAATTGCCAAAGAAATCAAGATTGAATTGGATGAAGGTAAACGGGGGCCGTTCATGTAGCTTTGGAACTAGCAGTACTGTAGGTTATGTCACGTTGATCGATAAGGACTCGGTACCCATTTATTTTTTTCAATCTCGCATCACCGGCAATTGTACGAAAATTCCTCATAGCCTTGTCAATGAACGATCGACTTCTTCGAACGCGCTCAATCTCCAAACAGAGTTGAATAAATGACAGAACACAGTAATGTCCCAGCCCAGGTACAGAATTAATTGATCATAAAAGGTACACAATAAGAGTTCAAAAAAGGTACACAATCAAGGGACGAGGAGACGCATACCATGAACGACAAAAGAGGGACACAATGAAAGGGCTGATAGTGTTCCACAAATGCTATTACTCACTATCTGGTCTAGAGTGGGGTTCTAGAGTTATACACAGTGGTATTATTTAGATGTACTGGCGATATTTTTGTCTTTTGTATTCATTGTTGACTAAGAGAGTACCGTGAGTTTACGATGTTTTCCTTTCAGGTAAAATAGTGGACTTCGAAGATGTGTCAGAGGTCATAACTGCGTCTGTTTTGAAGGTGAAGATTCTGTTCCTCTAAACTACTTAACACTTGGATTATGAGCTCGAGACTTTTATTACGCATAGTGATAGAAATGGAGAGCGAATAATGCAATTGTTTTAGTATAAATCTACTAGACCTACTAGTCGTTCAAAACTTCATCTCAATCTTCTTCACAGACGCCTTTCGAGAACGTAAAGAAGTGGCCGCTATTTTGTTTTGGTTTTAATACTAAGAATTTTAAATTTAAAGTGCTTCTACTCGATTTAGTTTCCTGCTGGCTAACAGTAACTTTTTTTTTCTTGTTAGTAATTAACTTAAAACAAAACTTGTTTTATTGGCAGGAATTTCTTCGTCGCTTGCCGGACTGTATATTTGAGAGTGAGAATTACGAAGATCTCGTCGCCACCAGCAATATCGTAGACCAAGACGAACGAGCGAGGCAAATCAAGGGGTACGAACTTTCTTGTTAGGAAGAAATTAAATACCTGAGGAGCTGACAAAGGTTACGCTGTTTCCCACGCCCACCTTGAAACAAGATTACACTCTGCACACTGGTTATAAGTTTTCCCGCGCTTGTCGCAGGTTACAAGCTTTCCAACGGGCTACAATTAAGGTTTCCCGCGCTTAAAGGAGCTACGTGACGGTTTGTGCATCTTAAAAAGTTAAGCCTAGATTTTTTCAAGTTCGTTGTTTGCAATCCGTGTTAAACTTCTCCATCCTTGTTCCTTTGTGGTTTATTATTATCTCTTTGGTGTTTTTCTGTCTTAGTGCACCACTGTTTTCAGGTTTTCTTAAAATTAACGTTACACGTTGCACGTAGCAGATTTAACTCAAAATGCCGTGACTGGGCTCCTTTAACACGGGTTACAACCTTTTCCGCTTAACACAGGTTACTAGCTTTCCCGCGCTTCACACAGTTTACAAGCCTTCCCGCGCTTAACACAGTTTACAAGCTTTCCCGCGCTTAACACAGCTTAGCGCAGCGCTTGACCCTGGCATGCTATGATAATATTTAGGTATTAAATTGGTTTGGTTTGAGTTTACGACAGTCGGTGCGATTGTTTGATGTTGTTTCCTTTCTTTCAGGATCTTGAGTGGAATCAACCGTTATAATTACGAACTGTTAAAATCATTTTTGTGCGTGTTATATTACATCGCCGACAACGCGGAAACAAACAACATGAACGCTTACAACTTGGCAGTTTGCGTGGCACCCAGCATGCTATGGGCGCCCAAGGGTTCCAGTATTCCTGCCACGGAACAATCAAACTCCGTACCCCCGGTGATACAGTTTATAATTGAACGGTGTGTGGATATCATGGGAGATGATGTAAGAACAATTCTTGGCGATCGTAGCGAGATCGCTGCTAATCACGTGGCCAGCGACTCGGAGAGTAGTACCCAGGACTCACGGACTGCTTTGAGTCAGTCCTCTACGGATGACGGGATAGAGTCACCCGAACCTTTGAGTCCCAAAGGAGAAAGGACCTCCATTCACTTAAGCGATTCGAACTTGTATGTGACAAGCACGCTTAGTGTTCATCCTACGAATAAAAGTGTTAGTACACCAAGTTCGCCGTGTGATTCAGGGATTCCGTCACCTAGTTCATCGCCCCCACTCAAGAGACATGACGTTGAGTTTTCTAATAAACTCAGCGCCGCTTTTTATGAACCTCATCACAGCAAAGGACATGCACCCATCGGTCGACGAAGTTCGGAACCACTCGGCTTACCGCCGGATTCCATGAAATTGCGACTAAAGGGAAATCGGAAATCCCCGAACTCTAAGCGACAGTTGAGTAGTACAACGACAAGTGCTGAACTAATTGAACATAAACAGGCGCAAAAGACCACGGCAAGTGGTCGGAAACTAGAGACTGCAGTGCTACGACGAGCGCATTCGCCTCAAACTGTACGGTTATTTCCTGTCACGCAAAGTGTCACGCAATACCAGCGTCTTAGCCCTGTACCTAACTATCCCTCATCTGTGTCACGTGCTTTAGAAGTCAAACAGTCTGTGGAAACTCAAGGCTTGAGTACTGAAGATCTTGATAGCAGTCCGACATCTCCTGTTCCGCCCAGCTCACCGGTATCTAAACAACCCCCAGGAGGACCCCGGTCTCCATCCCCGAGCCCTGATCAAGTTTTTCAAGCTGTTGACCGCCGGCGCCAGCCTGCGGCGCCGTCATATCAAGAACACATGCAGCGTCGGAGAGAACTGAACTCGAAACCTGCGTTTTTTCCGGGTTTAGAAGGAAAGGAGGTTAAAGATTTGGACAATAATAAGGAACAAGTATCCCCCAGGGAACTAAAGGAATTTTTCGAAACTAAGGAGCATGTGCAACAGCCCCGTTTCCTTGGGAGATCGGGTGTATTTCACGATCGGTTGGATTCGGAAAGGAGCGAAACTTCTTCGACACCTAAAACGCCTCTGTCTCCGGCAAGCCAGCAGGACTATGTGTGGGAACAAGTCGATGATTCAAGCTGCAGCTCAATCGCCAGTGCGGGAATCCGTCGACTGGAACATTCACCATTTGGACTCAATCTTCATCATAAGAGGAATGCTAGTGAAGGGTCTTATAAAAAACCGCCTACTGAAAACTCCAGGAAAACTGTTGGGCTCCCCACAAGTCACAGCTCTGGACAGTTACGATCTTCGCCTACTTCTGTTTCGTCTTCTGTTTCTAATTCCATTCCGCATAATTCTTCTCTCACACATTTCCCTCACTCCGAGTTCTTTCCGCACGAAGCTCAAACGAAAACACACTGGGGACCTTCGGCTGATACTCGGGGAACTTCGGTAGTCCCCAATTCACCGTGCAATTTCCGAATTCGGAGAGGCAGCGCGACTTCGTCTTCGTCGTCGGTGTCGAGCTTGGATGAGCGATCGAGCGTCGGCGCTGATTCGACGTTTTCCGAAGGTAAAACGGACGTGACACAAATTCGCGATATTAAGGAACTTCTTAGCGAGAATGCGCAAGCGAATGGACTGAAAATCAGTCCGCAGACGGCGCAAGTAATCGCTAAGGTACGCACGCCGTACCCTCAGAGCGGGGCGTATGCTGCCCCGTCCCATGACGATATCGAGAAAATTCTGTTCACAGAAGAATCGTACGTCTAGCTTTCCAGTAATATTTTGTATTGTACAAAGAAAACGCTGCCAAGTATTTAGCTGTAATTAGTGATTTAGAGCGTACTTTTTCCGCTTTTCCAAGGCAGTATTTTATTTCAATATTCCGTAGAATAAAAAAATAAAACGCAAAGTTTTAACGTAAGTTGTTGTTATGGCAAGAAATGGTTTCTAAAGGGGGAGGAATAAACTATTTCAAGCTGTCGTAGTTAGCAGTTTGAGTTTAAAGGCGCTTTCCTTTCGACCAAAATTCCAGCTTGCACTTCCGGAAAATTCCAGCGGCGAATGAAACAGCATTTTCCTCAATTTCCGGAAAAGAGGACAACCTTGGCGAAATTTCTTCCCGGAAATTTCCGTTCCATTTGACTTTTAGTTGAATGGTTCGCTTCCGGAATCCGGAAATTCAACAATTTCCGGATTTTCTGGAAACTTTTAGGCTGCAAGCAGTCTCTCTTTACCTCGAAAATCGTAGGGAAGAACGCAACTTAAACTTAAGACAAGTAAGCGTGCGAGCGTGACTGTGAGCGTGACGTGCGATTGGCGATCCGACGCCCGCGCTACTAGCGGCTCGCTGGTCGCGCACATAGGATTACTTGTTTTGCGTTCTTCCCCACGGATTTTCGAGGAAAAGAGAGACTGCTTGCAGTCTATGAAACTTTCCGAAATTCCGTCACCATTTGTCCCCTTTTCGAAATTTTCTGAAGTTTTGGTCGAATGAAAAGCGCCCATAGTTAAATACAGTCTAACACCTTTTCCTTCCCGTCGTGCCTTCCCTGTTAATTTAATCTCTACGAACATCCTCAGCCAGTAGAGAAACTGTCTGAATCTGATTAAAGAACAACTTTGAATTTGAGCAGGTGTAATATTACGCCACCAGCAATTGCTCAGTTGGTAGTGTTTTTGCCATTAAATGGGCCATTTCTGAACTAGTCGTGGTTGGAAATTGTTCATAAAGACGTGTCTCGTGCGTTTGCATTCTTTTGCGATAAAACTCACTCCCATGTGAAAGGTGCAACAGGACTTTTCTTTAATCCAAGCAGAAGGGAACACGGGAATCCCTTATTTGGCGTGCAGTTTCCCGTCATGCAACTCTCATCTGTGCATTGAACAGTTTCTTGACGATGGCACCCCTTGTTTCCAGGGTCCTCCATCTTCCTCAAGGTAGAGAGAGAACCCTGGGAACGAGATTGAATGAAGGCCACAAGCATTTGAGAATAGTGAGTCTGGTAAGCAATTTTATTTGAGGCTCACAATTTGTCTAACTACCCCAGCCCTCTATCTAATCCCTATTTATACTAGTACAAACATCGTTTCGTTTCATTAAATTCTACAGAAATCTAGGTTCGATTACCAGCCGCTGTTTCGGGAAATGAGCCCGCGCTCGTCTCACTCTTCACGGGGACGAACGCGGCCGGACCCGAGAATGCGGCGGAAATCGAGCTTGGGACACTAGTACCGAGATCCTCTCCGAGCGGAATTTACTGTTGGACAACGTAATGAAGTGAACGCAAAGTTGAAAGAGATCCTTCTGAGGAATTAGTCGACGTTTCAAAATAGTTCCTTAAAAGGCGGCTTCATATCGATCTCTTGTTCCTGACCAGTCTACAATCAGTTACCAAATGCTAACTACCATTTACAAAACATCAAGTAGAAGGAATACCACGCCAATTGAGGGAACGCGTTACCATACAGTAACGCGGAGAGTCGTTGATAATTACAGTTTTGATCTATACGAGTGACCGAGCAAGGAATAAGAACAAGGGTGTGGAACAAAAACAGAACCATTCGATTTTTTCCCCAAGAGGGTCGAAAACCTCCCAGCCCCTCCCCAACCCGGCATATAAATTAAATGAATGTAGGCCCAAGAAGAAAGTTATATCGTGACGTGCGCTTGTTTGTGAGAGATTGGAAGTACTCAGAGTGAATGAACCCTTCCTTCAAAAGGTGTGTTAGGTTTTCCCAAACTTATTTAAGCGTTTGTGTTAGGTTGTGTGAACGGAAAAGCAGTCGATTAGATTTGTTTCATGTAAACGTCTACACGACAATTGTTACGAATCGTCATAAGTTATAGCGTCTGAAGATTTTAAAAATACAGACACCGCTTTCCCTTCGTTTAAAACAGCACTCTTCTTTGTCCGTCTTATTCAGCCCATTATCTTGTTGCATAGCTACTCACTTGAACAGTAAAATATTCACAGGCTTCTTTGAATCTCAGGAACTAAATCAGTACTGGACGTGCAAAAGATTATAAAACGAGAACGCTTTAAAAAAATAGAAAAAACTAAAGTACGTTAAACGATCGAAGAGAATTATGACTGTGTGGTGTCGGTATTTAAATTCGCCTCCAACACTTGTTTTAAAAGATTATCCACTTTGGTGTCATCGAGTATTTCTGATTTGTCGCCCAGTTCTATTTCCGGTACCAGTACTCTCAAGAGTTTGCATACATTGTCACGAAGATGTCTCAACTGCTGAGCAGATTGCGCCAGTTTGATCCACTGTTCCTCTTTACTCAGTTTCCCTAGTTTGATTATCAGGTCGTTATCGACGCCTTCTAGAGCAAGTTCATTGTCGTTTGTGACTGGTTCGAATGTTTCTTCCTCTTGGGGAGGGGGTGGTGGGGAATCGATGACTATAACTTCAGTCTCCATGCGCGGTTTTTGGACGACTGGCTGCTCTATGACGTCATCCTCGTCGTGCGCTCGCTTGATCCCGTTCACCATTGGCCTGAAAACAATCCACAAAACAGTCGATCTAGAGACTTCAGCTGCTACAAATCGACACAAGTTTTCAGTGAAGAGCATGGGACGAAGAAAAAATTCTGAGTTTTTGACAGGTGTCAAACCTACATATGACCTTCCGTACCACGGTCAGATGCTTCAGGACCCTTGTGCCAAGCTGGGCCATGTACGTCGTTCATTAGTGACATAAGATCATTTTCACTGCTGTGATGAGTATTGTCGAAATCATTAAGTATGGCCAGACAAAATGCACGGTTCTACTCACGTTCTCATTCCGTTGGGGAATGAGACACTATTTTTTGTCCCAAGTTTATCCCATGCTCGTGGCGATTTAATAGTTGTATCATTGTCCATCATAAGTCCAATTATTCTTGAATTTCGATTGGTTCTTACTTATGACCAAAGGTAGGCAAACGCGCATCAAAAGTGGGCGTTTTCAAACAAAAAGGGTATTAGCGTAGACGGAGCCCTAAGCGTTGCATGAAGAAGAAGACTGTCGTCTGTTGTGCAGATTCAACACACACACACACACAAAAACCAAATGATCGAGGACCCTCGGCAATACTTTTATGTTGCCCAGTTCATTACGCCATACAACGTGGTTCTAACCTTGGCGTCTGCGGATGTGCTGGTACAAATTAAAAAGTATTGAAAAGATGAATTACCTGTCTTCCTTCTCAGTTTTCACTTTAACTATCAGGCCCGTTGATGCTGCTACCGCCGGGGCCCCAGAATGAACTTGCGATATCTGGATATTTGGGCCTGTCGAAGGTAAGGGGCTCACTGGTACAGCATGTTTTGGTTCCTGTTTAATTTGAACCTGGAAAATGGTAAAACAACAACAAAAAAATGAGACATTTCAGTTTAGGTGTTTTCTAATCTGAAAAGTGCTATGACTTTCATGGACTCGTTGCAAAGTGACTGTAGCTAGGCAAAAGGCTATAAATTAAATGGCCATTTGGAAATTGAAGAGAGCATTGCAAGAAAGTAAAGATATTGGACATAAGTTAACCAAAGTTAAAGAAGCACCATCATACATTTAGTTAATTTCTGTGACCTAAAAAAGGATCTCTAACACTGGGAAAGACGTACAATGCAAAAAAAAAAAATGACAAAAAAATTTAAGATGCACATGAAGCTCCATCAACACAGCACTCAAAGGTACATTTTACAAAACCTCTATTTCCAAAACAGCCTGTGTTGAAAGCTGGGATGACCTAGTATGGCAACTTCATTTGAGTACACCTTGCAACAGACAAGGAGACCACCCCTAATGGGACAGAAGGCAACTTCTCATTGCAGGGAAGGTGTAGGTAGCCTGTATAGCGGGCGTAAAATGGGAAGGATGGAGGATGGAAGGAGGGGGACTGGGAGGAACAATTAATTCCTCTTCTTTTCACCTCCCCTTCCCTATTTTGTTTATGCCTACAACACAGGCTAAGGTTTAGTGAAAACAGATTGAAAATCATTGAAATACCTGCAACACTGGATTGACAGCAGCGTGGTTTACAGGTTGTACCCCGGCTGGAATTGCAGGGTTCACCGGTGATGTCTGAACAAGCTGGGTGCTAGGACCAGCTGCAGCAGTGGTCACTGCCATGGATGAAGTCTGCGGTGTGGGGACAATATACCGGTATCTGTCGCGGACAGTGACTTGATTCCTGATCTCTGTGGGTGACTGCTTGGTGGGCTCCTTAGCCTCTGGAATAACTGCAGACACAGGAGAAACTACAGATCCCTGAGTTGCTTGCCTGTTGACTTCTTGTAATGACTCTAAAGGTTTGTAGCTGGACGAAATTGCCGATGATCTTACTGGTGCATTGATTTGCTGCGGAAGCTGATTTTGGGACACCGGTGTTGTTTGCAGTGTCACTGCATTGGTGTTCTTAATTTGCATCTGTTGTTGTCGTTGTTGTTGTTGTTGTGATGGCTGAAGTGGTAGTGCTCTAACTTGGTATGTTGGTGCATTGCTTGGCTTGGAGGTCAAATCCTGTGTAATTGGTGTTTGTAGGTGAATTTTATGCCCGGACGATAACACAAGGTTTTGAACTGTGACCTTCTGCTGTGAAGGGGCATTCCCATCAGTTCTTATAGGCTGTGCTTGGTTGACCTGTAAACTCTGACCTTGTTGCAATGACTGTACCGATACAACTCTTGGTGACACATCTGCCACCACCCTGTTGCCCTGCTGTTGGAGTTGTCCCTGAGGACTCGGCACAATCTGCACCAGTGGTTTTGGAGCAGTTTGTGACTGGCTTGCTGAAGGAAGAGATGAAAATACTTTCACAACCTTCACAGATTGTTGTTGTTGTTGTTGCAGTTGGTTTCTGTTTGGTGTTAAAAGCACTGGTGACTTTGGATTGTATGTGTTATGGGCCACTACTTGTGGAGTTCGCCCTCGGACTGGAGTTGGCTGCAATGGAAATATGCCAAACAACTTCAACACACAGAATAATCAAGTCGTCTGAATCCATATCATCCCTGTTCACAACTTTTGTGCTTTGGTGGCATAAAAACCACACCCCAAATGAGGCAAACCCATCACTAGTCCACAGAGGATGGACTTCAATATAAAGTTGATGGTCTTCTAGATTTCTTGTCCAAAAATTGAGAAAACCTCAAAGACTTGCATGTACTAGTACCAGAGACCATGTTTTGATTTCAAGCCAAAGACATCCCAGACAAGAGAGATGTTTCAAGGTCCATTTCTGTTTTGCTAAACCCCTAGAGAATTCCCTCAGCCCACCATAAATTTATAAAATCCCGGCCAAACGATCGCAACATGTCAACGCCACATATCGCAACATTGTTGGGCGCAACATGTTGTGTGCGTTTGGCCACCTTGTTGCGATGTGTTGCGACATGTTGGCTGTTGCTGGCTCAAATTTGAAGGTCAAATTGGAGCCAGCAAAACCCAACATGTCACAACACATCGCAACATGGTGGCCAAACGCACACAACATGTTGCGCCCAACAATGTTGCGATATGTGGCGTTGACATGTTGCAATCGTTTGGCCAGGGCTTAAAATTTCAAAGCAACAGAACAAAGGTGCAAACATACCTTGAACCCACTCGAAGATGGTGTCATCAACTGTTTGGAATAATAAATGACAGAATTAAGTTTTGCAAGAGAGTTAATCCTCTATAAACATGTAGGCCTTATTCCTGAGGTGATCCCTCCCAAGTTCATTTCAAACATGATACCCACTTCTTCCATAGATAACGTCAGCACATGCATTGCACAGATGTTTTCTTGGGGGATGAAAATGCATGTAAATCTGCTTGAGCTGTCCACATGAGTAAAATTTGCATCACAAGATTGGCTATTTCTAGACTCTCCTGGGATTTCTGTTGCCAGTATTGATTACCTTGAGAATAAGGCCTATATGGTGGATTCACTCTCTCACCTTTCCTCCTATCTTGGTTTTGCTATCAAACACTGACACTAGGATATTTTTAGCTACAGGGCTCGAAACAAACTTGAATTCCAGCTTGCCCTGAGAACAAGTACAAGTATCTCTCAAATAATGCTTGCCCTGGGCAAGTCTTAGTTTGCTCTTTTA